GGCAGATTGACGAAGTACACTGCTGAGGGGAGCAGCGGGCGGGTCAGGAGAGGTCTGCCACGCCATGTGGTCACCTCTGGGGCAGGCAGGAATCGAACTCATGCGGAAGTGGCTTTAGATTCTCAGTGCTGTGCTTTAACCCGCTGTGCCACCAGGGAGGGCCTATTTTTTTTAATTTTTAAAAAAATTCCCTGGTGAATTTTCTTGGCATTTATTCCTGTGTTGCCTGAAATTCCTAGAACAATGGTTTACTGTCTGACATTAATTTGGAGAAATTCTTAGTAGTTAGTCTTTTGTATATTTCTTCTACATCTTTTTCTGTTGTCCCCACAGCTCCCTTGTTATTCATTTTTTGGCCTCTTCCTCCACCACCACCACCACCCTGTTATTTTCTCTTTTCACTTTTCAGTTGTACAGGATGCTATTTGATAGCCTCAAGTTAAGTGATTCTGTCCTCAGCCATACCCTATAAATAATTAGCCCATACAATGGCATTTGTTCATTTCTGTTAATGTGCTTTTGATGTCTGACATTTATTTTTTTCCTTATTTAGAATTTTGACCTCTCTGCTTCCATTTCCCATCTGTTATAGTATCTATAGTTTATGCATTACCGCCATTAGCATATTGGTCATTGTTTTAAATTCCTCATCTGATAATTTCAGTATAGCTGTCATGTCTGAATCTGGTTCTGATACTTGTTCTGTCTTCTCAAACTGTGTTTTTGCCTTACAGTAAGTCTTGTAATTTTTTCTTGATAAGCAGGCATGATATCCTGGGTAAAAAGATCTAAACGCTGTCATACACCTTTGGTAATATGCTGATAAGATGTTTGGGGAGGAAAAATATCCTATAGTCTTGTAATTATATCTCAATCTTTTTTATGAATTTGTGCTTCTGAACTTTGAACTTTACAGTGCTTCTCAGTATTTCCCACTCACTCCTTGGGTGGGTCATTGTGGTTGGCTGCTGATTTATTCCTCTTTGCCCAGTCAAACTGATAAAACCCTGGCAGGTTAGACTCTTGATTAAGTAGTTTCTCCTGAGAACATGACAAAACTGCTCTTGTATATTTCAAAATGGTACCTTTTCGCTTCCAGAATCACTATAGGATTTTTCTCCAATGTTTACTGTGAAAACCTGGTGAAACTCATCAAGTATGGAATCCCCAGATAACTTGGTCCCCTTGATGTTTTTGACCGTTAGAGTCATCCAAACTTAGCTGACAACAATTTCTTTATTTCTGCAGTAGTTTCTGTGATGATAAGTTGTGACTGTGTAAAATTGCTTGTCAGTTAATCCAGTTTGGGAGGCAGTGGCTTGGCCTGTAACATTCCTTATTTTAAGGAATAGCTCTAAGAGCTATTGACTTTTCAGTTTGTATATGTTTGTAGTTGTTAAAAGGTATTGACTTCTAAGTTCCTTATAGCCAGACTAGAAGCCAAGCTCAGCTTATCTTAAAACTTTTTTGAGAATTTATGTTTGCATCTATTTTTAAGTACAGTCAAATTTGAGTATATATACTTTTTTTTTTAAGATTTATTTATTTGTGCATACAGAACTGGGGTACAGACCAGAGGCTCAGGGGCGGTGAGAAGCTTCACCAGAGACAGAGTGGGGAGCAGAACAGGCAGATCGATGAAGTACACTGCTGAGGGGAGCAGCGGGCGGGTCAGGAGAGGTCTGCCACGCCATGTGGTCACCTCCGGGGCAGGTGGGAATCGAACTCATGCGGAGGCGGCTTTAGATTCTCAGTGCTGTGCTTTAACCCGCTGCGCCACCAGGGAGGGCCAAGTATATATCTACCAGGGAGGGCCAAGTATATATACTTCTTAAGGAGAGTAATCTGCAAAATAACTTCTCAGAAAAGTTAGTCTTTTCTGTGACAATCTTGTTAAGGATCCTTCCTAAATTTTATTGTACACATCAGTTAATGTAAAACTCATTTTGGCTGTATTTTCTTAGACAAAACCAAATATAATAAGTTTGCTTTATTGAGCTGAATAACTAAACTAGCTTTTATCTGGAAATTTGATCTTGTCTTCTTACCTGATTTTTTTTTTTTTTTTACGAAATTCTGCAAATAAGCAAATATGATTAGCTAATCTTAAAATTAATGATTCATTATGGTAGTGAATGACTTGTTTCATTTTTTTCAAGTGGTTTTTGCTTTCTTTATTTTGAAGCTTCTTCGCAGCATGTTGATAACCATGTTAGCTCATCTTCCTACTTGGGCCAGACACCAGCATCACCAAGTAGATATTCGCCTGTTTCAAAAACAATGCTTGCAGATGATGAAATTACAAGGTAAGGAAGTAAATATTCATCTTTATTGCATAAAGTCAACTATTAGATGTAGTTATAGTCAACCAAATAACATAGCCACAGTTTTTAAGGCTTGAAAATCTTTGACAGGTGATGAACTTAATTTGTTTCATTGGAGGGTTCATTGAAGCCTGAAATGTAATAAGTATTTTACATTCCAAATAAATCTTTGCTCTTTTTTTTTTAACTATTGCCCTTTTTCTAGAATTGGTAAACTGTAAAAGCTAAGTGAAGAATGAAACTTTTCATTTTTTTATTTAACAAACATAATAAAATATTATGGCAATTGAATTCAACAAATATTTGAATATATATCGTTTGTTTGATATATATCGTTGATATCCTGACACCACCCTTTTTCACATTATCTCTTGTCTAAAATATTGTAATTAGAATGTGTGGGTTTTTGTTTTGTAAAAGAACTGGGGCATAGGCCAGAGGTAGGGGCAAGAGCTGAGAGGATTCATCAGAGACAGAGTGGAAAACAGAATAGGCAGATTTATTGAAATACACTGCTGAGGGGAGCATTTGGCAAGACAGGAGAAGTTTGCTGAGCCATATGTGGGTTAGCTCCCTGGCCAGGAATCCAACTCAGGCAGTAGAGATGATAGTTCTGAGATTTAACCCCTTGGCCATCAGGGACTTTGATAGGCCTCCCTGTTTTCTATACTTTTCTGTGAAAATCAGGTGGTTGGTTACTGGAGATGTCTTTCTAAAATGGTGTGTTTTATCACTCGCGTTTTAATAGTCACAATATCCTACCCAAATAATTAAGTACAAAAATCTTTATTCTCACATTACGTTTTCTCCATAATTTGATCCTAAGCAATTTGGCAGAGGTTATGTCATATTACCAATGTAAAAATAAATGAAAAAATCCATGCATACAAGCAGTTGATGGTTTTGAAGTTCATTTTTTTCACAACTTTTTCGAGTGATTCATCCATTTAAGCGTTCTAGCATAGAACTGAAGTTTTTAGTATATTACATTGATTTTGTTAATTGTGATTTAAAAATGTATTATTTAGCCATTTTAAAAAATGTAATTCATGATCGTAATTGTATTCACAAAGTTATACAATCATCACTACACCCCAAAACCTTTTCACTACTTCAGACAGAACCTAACCACTAAGTAATATCTACCAATTTCCCTGTCCTCCTAGCTTTTTGTAACCTTTAATCTACTTTCTGTTTCTATAAATTTGGGTATTCTAGGGTATTCATGTAAGTAGAAATCTTATTTCTTGATTAGTATAATGTTTTCAGTATATAACCTTGTCATAGAAAATATCAGAACATAATTCCTTTTTGTGGTTGAATAATTATCTGTTGTGTTTATAGACCATATTTTGTTTGCCCATCCATGTTTTTTTAAAGACTTATGTATGTATTCGTACAGAACTGGGGTACAGGCCAGAGATGCGGAGGGTGAGAGGATTCACCAGAGACAGAGTGGGGAGCAGAACAGGCAGATCAACGGAGTACACTGCTGAGAGGAGCAGCGGGCGGAGGTCTGCCTCACCATGTGGATCTCCTCCGGGGCAGGCAGGGATTGAACTCTTGCGGAAGTGGCTTAAGCTTCTTTGTGCAGTGCTTTAACCCACTGCGCCACCAGGGAGGGCCTGCCCATCCATTTTTTAATGGGCCTTTGGGTTATTTCTACCTTTTAGGTATTGTGAATAATGCTGTGGTAAATACTATCATGCAGTTATCTTTTTGCATCCCTGCTTTCAATTCCTTTAGATATATACTCAAGGGTGGAATTGCTGTTTTCTGTAACAGCAACATCATTTTACTTTCCCACCATCAATATATGAAGGTTACTCTTTCTCTACACCTTAAACAACACTGGCTTTTTCTTTTGTATCTTGTTTTATAATCACTGAAGTAGGTGTGACGTATCTCCTTGTGATTTTTAATGCAGTTCCTAAATGCTAGTGATGTTGAGCATCTTTTCATGTGCTTATATTATTTGAAAGTCAGATTGTATTTCTTTCTGGAACTACTTTGGGTTTTAGCAGTGTATTTTTAAATTAAGTTTTATTTTCTAATGTGAAGTTATAATTAATAAATTTGTTTTAAACTATAATAGGAAATCTAAGCTACAGTCCATCATCTAGCAAGTAAATAAAACAGCACCAACATAATGAAACCTGCTTTGCATCCCTGATCTTATCCTGCTTCTCCCATAATGCCATATTAACTTTTCCTAAATTTTGTATTTATTATTCCCTTTGTTCTCTCACATATGGTTTTCTGTACATATTTCCTAACAACAAGATCTTTAATTTTGCTATTTTTTGACAAAACATAATTTTGTTGAGCTGAAATGGCTAAATAAAGATGAATGTCTGTATGACTGGAAAACATCATTTTTAGTTTCCAGCAGACAGATATGTAAAATTAATTCCACATTATATGGAAGTATCTCAGACTCATTTTTTTAAAAAGTATTCTGTTAACCCTTTTGTTACCAATAGCTTTCTACATTGTTTGAGAAAAATCAGATAAATCTTTAAAATGTTTATCAAGTATACTATTTTCTATTCCCAAATGATAGTCTGTATTTTATCATATCTAAAATAAACTGATGCTGAGACCTACATGGTCTTACCAGAAATGTGAATAGTTTCCATACAAGTATATATAATTGTCAGGAAATGTGAAACATTATTGGTGGTAAAGTATATACAGATTCAGATTTTAGATGGGGTGGGTGCAAAAAAGGTGTATCTTAGATTGGATGAAAAGTGAAGAGAAAAAGAAGACATAAGAAATGATGCTGGCATTACTGCTCCCTGGTACGAAGTGGGCTAAAGTGCAGCACTGCAAAGCTGACCTTGGGCACTTCAGTGCTAGTTCAATCCCTGCCCTGGAGGTGATCCACATGGTACAGCAGACCTCTCCTGTGTCGTCCACTGCTCCCCTCAGCAGTATACCTCATCAGTCTGCCTGTTCTGCTCCCCAGTCTGACTCTGGTGAATCCTCTCACTGTCTCTGCACCTATGGCCTGTACACCCAGTTCTGTATGCATAAATAAATTTTAAAAATAAATGATGCTTAATTATTTCATATAAAAAACCTGGAGATGGAAATTTCCACTATTGGTATAACAGTCTAAAGTCCATACTTTCTCTAGGATTTACTTGGTGACATCCCATATGTCCAAGCCATTAATGGCATTTTATTGTTTCTTCTGTTGGGGGGAGTTACTTTGGTTAGAGACAGACAAATATGCTCATATTGGGGCACAAAATGTACTTTATTCTTATTAGGGTCTGTCTTTTTTTTTTTAAGATTTATTTATGCATACAGGCCAGAGGTGTGGGGGATGAGAGGATTCACCAGAGACAAAATGGGGAGCAGAACAGGCAGATTGATGAAGTACACTGCTGAGGGGAACAGCAGGAGGGTCAGGAGAGGTCTGCCACACCATGTCGGTCACCTCTGAGGCAGGGAATCAAACTCGTGCTGCAGTGGCTGAGGACAACTTCACAGTGCTGTGCTTTAACCCGTTGCATCACCAGAGAGGGCCTAAGATCTGTCTTTAAGGAAAGTGATGATAAAAGTTTCCTTAATTTCTTACAAGGGGAAATAGGGGTATAACCTCACCTTAGCAAGGGTGAATAGGATTGCAATGATTGTTTAGTAATGATTCACCCTTTTGGGGATTGGAAAGATGCCTGCTTTCTCTAAAACAAAAAGATTATACACCTTCTAGATCTAGTTTGCAGGAGGTACTGATGGCTTCATAGAAAATAAAGTATATACAATATCAACTTTTAATGAGAATTTATATTTCTTGAATACTCTATAATTTTTTAATTTCTTAATTTTCTCCCACTTGATTCAATTTCATGTTTGTTTTTAACATAAATTTTTAGTTTTTATATAGAATTATTACTAGGTTTCTTCCAAGCTTTAAGGCTTAGAAAGAATAGTTTTACCCCATAGTTTTGAAAAACTTTTAAATTCCATCTAGCTTTCTTTATAGTTTGATAGACTATCAAGTACTTCATAAAATTTCTAAGATTTTTATTTATTTTTTTTTTTTAATTTTTAGGGAGCCTAGGAAAGTTGTCCTTCATCGTGGCTCAACAGGCCTTGGTTTCAACATTGTAGGAGGTGAAGATGGAGAAGGAATATTTATTTCCTTTATCTTGGCTGGAGGACCTGCTGATCTTAGTGGAGAGCTTAGAAAAGGAGATCGTATTATATCGGTAGGATATGTTAATCAAAATAATGTTCTAACTATGACCTATTTTTAAAGTTTTATTTTTTGTATCCTGAAGTCATAGGAAGAATTTTTATTATCTTACTAACACTTTACAACTTAACTGTAAAATTGTAGTTTTGTCAGAAATGTTCTATGATAAATTTTCTTTTGATACTTGACTCGCTTATACAAAGGGTCAGTGCTTTTGAAGCACAGATATAAACACATCCAGCAGTATGTATTTGTTGACTGCATGGTTCTCTATATGTCTAATAGCAAAACTTTATTACATGTATAGCTGAACTCTTCTTTATAGTTTAATTTGTTGCTTAATCTATTATTATTAAAAGAAATTTTAAGTTGTTTGAATGATATTGGGTTTAACAGTTTATCCTTGCAGTACTTTTTTTTCTTTGAAACTGTTGTTAGATGCATTTAAGTTTAGAATCAGGTCATTTCTTCCTCATGAGTTAGTTTCTCGTGTAATAATTCTCATATAATAATAGTTATACTAATAGTTTCTACCTTAAAAATTGTATTAGCTGATATTAATGTAGTTATTCTGGTTTTATTATTTTATATCTGTCTCTTCTTTTTACTTTCATTTTGTCTTTTGTGGTCATTACCCATATGTTGTTAACTAAAATCAATCAGTGGTTTCCCTGTTTCCCCTAGTGACACATAGAATTTGGGAATTTTAATTCCATTTTTGTGCTTTCTCTTTTACTTTCAATTCATTTATAGCCCCTAAACCTTGTAGTTTTTTTTTACAGTTAACTCATCTGCTCTATATTATTTTTTCTGTTCATCCCACTTCTTATCTCTCACTTCTTTTTTCTATTCCCCACTGGACCACTAAAAACATTTGAATTAGACTTCAACAAATCCATAGGACTCTCTTGTCACTGATCATTTAATACTGAGTCCCACATATACATAGGAGTTCTTTTATGTTATAAAATATCACATGGCTACTTTATTAAAATATATTGTTTAAATGCTGTAGTTATTACCATAATTCAAACTAACAAATTATTTTGTCTGCTTTTGACAAACTGCATTTACATTGATTCAAAATAAAACTATTGCCATATTTTCAAGTAAACTCCCAGGTCTATTGCAGCTTGCTCATTGGTGGCCAGTGATTGAAGTGTCTCTGATTACTTCCTTTCTAAGAAAAATTGGTATTGCTTTGAGTCTTGTCTGCATTTGAACTTTATACGTACCTGGATATTTGTATCACAGATACAGGTCCAAGAGAAAACACAAAACATAAAAAGGATCTATACAGTGTATAACATCATTATAACATCATCAACACTGGCTGCCTTCTATAGGCAGCCAGTAGCTTGTTCTAGTTAGAATATTGTCCCCAACTGTATTGATACGCTGAGACAGAACCACCCTTATATCCTCTTGTCCCTTCCATCAACCTCAGGGAGCTCTGGATGTTTATTGATATCCACTGGTTTTTTAAAGTGTTCTTATATTCTCAAACTGTCTGCTATCTAGTTGCCCAGTATTTGTTTTTATAGGTCTGATTTACTTTACTGCACATAATTATATACAGACCCTCCATTTTGTTGAAAATGACTGCATTTTATGCTTTCTCATGGCTATGCTGCATTTTGTGGAGTGGATAGATATACCACCTCTTCTTGATCCATTTATCCATCATTGGACTTTTGGAGTGTTTCTGTGTCCCAGCTATTGTAAATAATGCTGTGATAAACATTGTGAAGTACATGGGTGTTGTATTGACGGTTTCATATTCTGTAGTTATATGCCCAAGAGTGGGATTGCTGAGTCATACAGTACTTATAGTTTTAGCTTTTTAAGGTAAATCCAGGTTGCTTTCTCCATAATGGTTGTGCCAGTTTACATTTCTACCAACAGTGTAATAGAGTTTCTCTCCACATCTTCACACTTATTGTTGGAGGTCTTTTTAATATGTAGCATTCTCATGGTATGAGATGATGTCTTATTGCAGTTTTAAACAGTGTCTCATTTAGGAGCATGAGTGTTAGTCTTCTGGATATCCTCTTTGGTGAATTGTCTATTCATATTTGTTGCCCACTGATCAATTGGGTTACTTTTTTAAGTGTTGTTGAGTGGTATGATTTTTCCTGGATACTACTCCTTTATCATTTATGTATTTTGTAAATATATTCTTCTATTCAATAAGGTGCCTATTATTGTTGTGTTTTCTTTTTCTGTAAAGCATTTTAATTTGAGGTAATCCCAATTGTTTGTTTTTATTTACCGTGCCATAGGATTTGAGTCACCAAAATAATCTTTATTATTGATATTGTGGAATATATTACTAATGTTTTCTCCTATGTATTATTGTCATAAATCTTACTAAGACTTAAGGATTAAATCTTTAATCCTTTTAAATTTTATTTTGTGTATAGGGTTAGTGTGTAATCCAGCTTCATTCCTTTATGTGTGGTTTTCTCATCTTCTCACTACCATTTATCAAAAAAGACTGCCCTTAGCCTGTCTTTAAGTTCATAGATACTTTATCATGCATGTACATTGTTTTCCATTGATCTGTTTATCAATGTTGTGTTAATACTACATTGTTTTTAGTACTATTGCTCTTATAGTGAAGTTTGAAGTTGTATAACATTATAATTCCATTTATCTCCTTTATGTCTTAGGGTTGCTTTTGCAGTGTGAGGCCTTTTGGGATTGCATTAAATTTCATTATTTTTGGCTCAACTTCTCTGAAAAACATTGCTAAGATTTTAATGCAATTCCATTAAATTTATACATCATTTTAAGCAGAACAGTCATTTTGATTATATTGATTCTTACCATCAATGATCAAGGGAGATCCTTCCATCTCCTGTGTCACTAAGTCCTCTAATAATACCTGTAGATCTTTTACCTCCTTGGGTAGATCGTACCAGAGAATGGAGTTACAATAAATGAAGTTTATTTTCTTAATTTCTTTTGTTTCTTGATCATTGTTCATAAAAAGCTTATCAATTTTGTATGTTGATTTTGTAATCTGCCACTTTTCTGTATTCATTTATTACATCAAGTAACATACTGATAGTGTCTTTAGAATGTTCTATATATAAAATCATACCTGCAAATAGTCGTTGTTTCACTTCTTTTTTGACTTGGATTCCCTTTATATTCTGTTTTTGTTTGTTAGTTCTGATTAGAACCCTAATAATAAGTTAAACAGAAGTGGTGACAGTAGGCATCCTTCTCTTACTCCCAGTGTTAAGGGTAAACTTCCAGTTTTTCATCATTGGGTAGTCTATTGGCTATTGGTTTGCAACATATGACCTTTATTGTATTGTGGCAGGTTCCTTCTTTTCCCTTTTTATTTAGAGTTTTTGTCATAAATGGGTTCTGAGTTTCATCAAGTGCTTCTCTGCATCTCTTGACATTATTACATTATTTTTATCAATATTATATAGTACATTGATTGATTTACCTGTATTAATCCTTCCTGGGACTGTCTCATTTGATCATGGTGTATAATCCTTTTTATATACTGTTGAATTAAATTTGCTGGTGTTGGATATTTTTACAACAATGTTCATCAGGGATATTGGTCTATAATTTTCTTGTGCTGTCTTTGTTGGTTTCAATATTAAGTTAATCTGGCATTATAAATTGCACTAGAGAGCATTGTACTTTAAAAATCAATTTTAATAAGGTAGATATTAGTTCTTAACAGTTTGATAAATACATTGGTAAATCCATTTCTGGACTTAGGGTTTATTTATTTATTATTTAAGACATTTTATTACTGTTTCAATTTCCATGCTTTTCATCCATCTATTAATACATCTTTTTTACGGATATTGGTATATCGTTGGTATTTTAATAGATATTATGTTTAATCGGTAGATTGCTTTGAATAATGTGGCTTTTTTTAAAAAAAGATTTATTACTTATTTGTGTATACAGAACTGGGGTACAGGCAGAGGCTCAGGGACGGTGAGAGGCTTCACCAGAGACAGAGTGGGGAACAGAACAGGCAGATGGACGAAGTACACTTTTGAGGGGAGCAGCGGGCGGGTCAGGAGAGGTCTGCCGCACCATGTGGTCACCTCCGGGGCAGGCGGGAATCGAACTCATGCGGAAGCGGCTTTAGATTCTCAGTGCTGTGCTTTAAGCCGCTGCGCCACCAGGGAGGGCCTAATGTGGCTATTTTAATGATATTAATTCTTCCTGCCCATGAGCACAGACTTCTTTATTTGTTTAATGTCTTCTCTTACTTCCCTTAATAAAGTTTCATAGTTTTTTTTTTAAGATTTATTTATTTATTCATACAGAACTGGGGTACAGGCCAGAGATGCAGAGAGTGAGAGTATTCACCAGGGACAGAGTGGGGAGCAGAACAGGCAGAGCGAGGAGGTACACTGCTGAGGGAAGCAACGGGCAGGTCAGGAGAGGTCTGCCATGCCATGTGGATCTCCTCCAGGGCAGGCAGGGATCGAACTAATGCGGTGGTGGCTTAAGCTTCTTAGTGCAGAGTGCTTTAACCCACTGCGCCACCAGGGAGGCGCCGAGTTTCATAGTTTTTATTATACAAGTCCTTCACCTCTTTCATTAAGTTTGATACCAGGTGTTTCATTCTTTTTGGCATTATTGTATATGAAACTTATTCTTTATTTCCCTTTCTTCTGATATTGTTCACATATAGAATGTCATTGATAGTTGTGTATTGGTTTGTGTACTGCCTTACTGTATTCACGTATTTCTAGAGGCTTTTTGAAAAATCTTTTGAGTTCTCTAAGTATATTAGCCTATCAGTTGAGACTAGTGACAGTTTCACTTCTTTTTCAATTTATACTGCTTTTATGTCCTTTTCTTGCCTAATTGCTTCAGCTAGAATTTTCAAGACTGTGTTGAATAAGAGATGATATTTGACATCCCTGTCTTGTTCCTGATCTTAGTGGAAATGCTTCAGACCTTTCACCATTGAGTTCATGACACTGTAGGTTTGTGATACCCAGTTTTTTTAATATTTAGATA